GATCTGATCTTCCGTCCTGTGCTTCATAGGTGTGATGGGCTGAGCTGTACCCTGTAAAGAGTGTAATGGAGCAGCTGTCTCTCTGAGCTGTCCTTGTTGGCTTTGGCCAACAAAAGAAGGACAGTCATCAACATTCGACTACAGAGGGATCCGATTCCAATTAGGTTTTGACAGTCTAAAGCAGCAAAGCGCATGGTAGGGGGTGTCTCATGGTGAGATCATTCTCTTCGCGAGAACAGTCCTTTGGCTACTTTTAAAAGCTGGTATCAAAGACTGCCCCTGAGAGTCCACTCACGTTTTACTTGCCCTAGGAACAGGTACTGCGTAAAGGTTTTTCCCCACAGTTCGGGAACCGGATATTTTGAGATGTGTGAGGGGAAGGGGGAAAAGCATGGTGCACTCTTCTGAAGAGTGAGAGTTTGCCCGTAGGGTAAGGAAAGGATCGCTCTCGGGCAGATGAAGTAACTTCAGCCACAAGTTCAGGTTTGGACAAGAGAGAAAACTAGGATGGCCATATGGATTCTGGGCCAGAGTGCAGTGGGTTGCTGATTATATAACAGGGATGATCCAGCCTAGAAATTCCCTGTACGGTTATATTCTGCTTGGGAACACCAGCAGTGCAATGACCCCAGCATTGGGTGATGTCCACAAGGGGGCTTCCAATGAAGAAGGGTCTACCGTAATTAGTTTCTTTTCTAATGTACTGTAAGGCCCTTCCCAGTTACCAAGACAACAGGATTGTAGTACTGATTATGATGCAGACTGAACAATACGATGAAGATGTCACCCCTTCTCTACCCCAGATGCTTTTATCGCAGGCCCACTGCAATAAATACACCATATATTCCTGGAGTATGCTGTGCTAAAGCTCTTTTGTGTGTATGCAAGTTCTGTGTAAGATTTTTTAAATGCGATTGGTGTGACTCTGCTGTTCAGCCATTTGCAGCTCCCTATCAGTTATGATTTTATACAGTAGTTACTCTCAGTCTTCAGACATTTGCTCATAGGTCCAACTGGAACCAAAAAAAAGCATTGTTTTATGAGGCTGGGTGGTGACGGAGTCACCCAGAATTTACACCTGGTTGTGCTCATTTGCAGAAACTGGAAAAAGAAGGTCCAGATCCCAGTTCAGTAAAAAAGCATTTCTCAGCTTCAGAACTTCAAGCCCTTATCCCCCCCTCATCTGTTATGTGAATTGCCCCTTTTAGTATGTTTCAGGCATGTGTTGCATTGTATTTGCCGATTTAATTTTAAATTCTGGTTTCAGGCATACTGTACATAAAAAATAATGTATGACAAACAATTTACCCCCTGCTCCCAGGAGCCATCTTCAACGCGTGTTGCATTTTCACTTGAGACATAGCGGTCAGGCAGACATTCACAAATTCCCTGGGAGTGCCCGTTTTTCTCACGACATCGTGCAAATAAAAAGGAGAGGCAGAAGCTGGTTATCGGGCACGGGCAAATCCGATTTCTCCCGTGTTTTTTTTTCCTGGGAAAGCCGTAGTGATATTGGGGGTTCCATACTGCACATGGAGAGCACAGTAGTATGAGGATTCTGGGAAACTAGCATGAGTGTTTTGCCTGGCGTCATGTCTTCACAGTATTTTTTGCTCATGTACAAAATGTACTGTACACAGATGCAGTGTCAAACCCAGGTGTTTCTGAATAAATCAAAAGCCAGTAGAGAGGAGGAAGGGTTCGAGGTGCTGTGAGGACTGGGAACAGTAAATATTATATCTTTACCAGAGGTGGCTGACCTCATCTGTCATAGGCAGAGGCCAATTGACTTTAAAATCCTCATGCTCACCTATAAGACTCTACATGGCCTGGCACCTCAATACCTGTCTGAACTATTATCGCCCTACTCCCCACCTCGCAACCTCCTCTCTTCAAATTCTGCCCTCCTTACTGTCCCCCAAGCCCGTCTACATTGTATGGGCGACAGGGCCTTCTCCTGCTATGCCCCCAAGCTCTGGAACTCTTTGCCCAAGGATATCAGAGAGTCACCTTCTCTAAACTCCTTCAAATCCAGACTCAAAACCTTCTTCTTCAGAAAAGCCTTTACTTAACTGGTTCCATTCTTCACCCCTCTGCTCTTCTTAGTACCACCTTCCACGGTCTCCTCTTTTGTTATTGTTGTAATTGTAATTGTGTCTTATCTTTTGAATTCTTCTTATTTATTGTTGTTGTCTTCTTATTTATTTTTGTCATCCTGTAAAGCGCTTTGAGAAGCTACCTTTAAAGGCGCTATATAAAATAAAGTTTATTATTATTATTATTATTATAATTGAACCTCATGCTAGAGTTCCTAATCCACTACAATATCTTTTACTTTGCCGTCACAAAAATGAAACCGAAAAAGCTCAGTCATTCAACGTACGATGTTCATGGGATTCATTCTGCCCTGCTCTAGGGCAGTTTTTACTTTTCACATTTCTCCACTGTCAGCAGAATGCTGAGATTCCGCAATGATCACCACTTAACCCTCATTCTTCTGTAGTGGAAATCCTCAAAGAGGAACAGGCTCTTTTTAGCTCCACGAATGTGGACTGTACAAAACAGCAGATGGTTTCTTCAAAACATTGCATCTGACAAAAGACGAAGCATTTAGGATTCGTATTGTCCCTCATACAGTACAGTACGTGCCATTGGATGGCAGTAGCCATTCAGGGCTACACCATCTCCAGAAATACTTGAACACAGTAAAAGTGAACTAGTCCCCTCCCACCCTACACACACCCTGACGTGCCACAGCCACAACTGCCCACAGAAAGTTCTCGCCATCTTCCAGAAGGAACAGAAAACTCATCTCCTTGTGAAAGACCTGACCCCAAACACCAAGAACTCTCCTTAGCACCGTGCTACAGCCTAGATCTTTATGCTGTGCTTTCTTTATCATCAATTCGCTGTTGTTTTACATCACGGTTTTATAGACTCTTTGCGTCTTGCCTTGATTGAATTTTAGGTCACGTTCGATAAAAGCCAAAGCTGTTTTGTAAATGTAAGTGTAAAGAGTCCTGAATTGGGTTAGATCCTAATGAATGTGACAAAAGGAGGAAATATGTCATCTAGTGATCTAAGGCATTGCTTTAAGAGTGTACATAGTGAGACAGGAGGGAGATATGTGAAGGGATGTCTTGAGTTCGATTTATACACATAGGTGAGCTGAGGTGTGTGAGATTAGAATTTATCGTCCATCCTGAACTTCTGTTTTAAGAGCCATTGTTGGGGAAATATTTACAGCGCATTGTGCACATTAACTATTCCAATAATTCCAAAATCTAAATGCGGTACTATACATGATTCAGTAATTAACACTGAATTTGAAGAATTATTCATGATTCACTGACCGACACATACTGTACAGTCAGTGCAGTGAAATATGACAAAAACAGCATTTCCTGTGATGAGCAGGAGGCTACAAGTCCTGCTGGGACTGACAAATCCTAGCAGTTTGACATTTCAATCCCGATTATGCCTTTTTTGTAACTTTTCTTTAGACTGAGACAGATCATTTACAGCTACTCATGCTGACAGTCAATATCACTAACATTGACCACTTAGTCTGGTCTTGTTGACAACTGGAATTTGAGAGAACTGTTTATATGGGGGTGGCCATAAGTGTTTTCGGCTATACAGCTTTTAAAATATCTGAGTAATGAAAATAGACTATATAGACCATGTAGCCTGAATAAATTAAACTATGGACTCAGGAAGCTGGGAATAGCACAGAGATTCTTTCCCATAGGTTTTTCTGTATGGAAAAAAAGTCACTGCTTTTCCCATTAATTTGTTGACACTGTTTCAGCCTAAACCAGCCCTTGTAATCATGTTTTCTGGCTGACATACAAGCCCAAATTGAAAGCTATGGGATGTCCAGCAGAGGAATGCTCTATGCAAATATCACAGGTCCCAATTTACAAAAATCTGTCTACGTTTAAGTGGGCAGAACATCCTGCTGACAAATCCTTCCACAGATGGGGAGTCTCTGAAAACCCATGACTAATTTGACAAGGCTGCGAGGGTTAGCTTATAGTACCTTACCGGTTCTTTTTATTATAGTATATTTACATGTAATTTTACAGTATATCATGTGGTTGAAATCCTTTGTGAAAGCAATAGGTAAAACACAGTCTCTGCCAAAGCATAAGAACTGGATACATTTACTGGACAGAGCATCTATTCCTGTGCCTGAAACGGTGATTTTACGCCAAGGAAGGGACTGAAGAGACCATTTACTGCCCAGATCCATCCATCCATCCATTTTGTAACTGCTTCATCCAATTCAGGGCTGCTGGGGAGCCAGAGTGCACCCCAGCAGGCAATGGGTACAGTGCAGGGTACGCTGTGGATGGGATACCAGTTCATTGCAGGGCCGACACACACAGACAGAGGTTCCTGACACAGACACTTATATTCTCTCTGAGCCACACACCCACAAAAGCAAACAAACCAGCACAGACAGTTCTGAGGCACAGCTGTTCTGCTACAGCAATGTTTGTAGGATGCAAGCACGTTGCACAAAACTGCAGACGCTGATGTTTCTCATTTATGCGGAGGCAAGAGAAATGCTTTTGAATCTATTTTTTCTTCTTTCATTTGTTGTGCTTCAATTACCCAAATGGCCGCTAGCGAATAGGCAACCTTCTTGAACTGATAGGGTGCACTGGCGCCATCCTGTCACTTTGCACTCTCAGGACACATACGAACAGCGCTAATTACCTCCTATCATACCAATTAGAGAGATTGTTTTTATTAAGACAAGGAGTCTAGCATGTCTCTATGCAATAATCTAGGCCACGGGCTATAAAAAGAACTAGCAAAAATTCATCTCATAAAAACTGGAACACTTATACCGAACAATTCTCCAGATTTCCCATCCTACTGGGATTTCCAGGCTTTAAAAATGAGTGGTGCTCTTTACTGAAATGTCATTACTTATCATGATTTTACCTTTTACGGGTCCTCAAGCCTTTTCACAGCGTCCGTCTCAGTACCTGCTTCAGCCGCGCTGTCCCTCTTGGCATCACAAGTCCTGAGGAACACAAGCAAGTGTGAGTCTTTTCTCCTGCCCCATGCCTTTCACTCACCAGCTCACTCCAAGAGAAATCAACATCAGAATGTACTTTCCACATGTCCACATGCAGTGGAAATTTTCCTTTGGTCTCACTGAGACAGCAAGAAAAGCAGTATATACTGTATACAGAGCACATAACACATCCAGTGAATTTTACAGAATACAAAACACATAATATAAATAATACCATTCTATGCAATACAGTACAAAAACATAAGATTCAAGATTGACATGCAGATTATACTGTACGTGTTGTCAATGTAAGGCTTTGAAGGGACTCAGACATCAGAGTTTAAGAGTAACAGCACTCGAATTAATGACTTTTTAAATGGGTTTTTGTAACCTTGGGTACTCTGAAATGCAGTCTGGAACGTATTTTTTCAAAATGGCAGTGGAGTGGTTTCGATACATCCATTTCCTATTAACACTGCTTTCCTGTAAACCTTCCTAGTACAGATGTGGCTCAGCTGGTTCTGTTTCTCAGCAATAATTTTGCTGCTTGGCTTCACCAATGACGGCAAGATTCCCACACCAAGTGGCGATGTTAAAGCTCACTCTCTACCAGCTTGGTATAGGCCAGCTCTAGGAGGTGTTTGCTTACGTCAAACATTTCGCAACCTTCTTGATTTCACCCGCCTGACAACTCCTTACCCCACCCCCCCTTGTTGCCCAACAAGATTCAACCCGGGCAAAGGACCCCAGATCGGCCTTAATAGGAAAAAAAAATGGTCCTCAGCTCAAATTGAGACTGCGTGTTCCTTTTTTGTTTTTACGAGGTAGTAAAAATAACTTTGTCTCGACGGCGCTGGCAAAAAAAAACCCAACCTGTGCTGTACTTGTTAAACGACTTAACGACTTGTGAGTGAAATTCCAGAACGGGGCACCAGCAACCCTCCTTAGCTCAACAAATAGTGTTTCCACGGACTCGCGTACTGTCTAAATCGCAATTGCAACAGGTCGGTGCCTAGACACTCAGGTCAGCATGTGTGCATCATGCATTGCTCATTGCAAAAACGAGGTCCCGCGAACTCACTTAGAATGGTGTGTAGAAAGGGAACAAAACCAATATTTAACTGAAAAACAAATAGGGATACACTCAGCAGTCAGTTAATACTGCCCCACTGAACCCACCACACCAACCTGGAAGCCAAGACAGCACGGCAGCGCCTGTAATTTCTCTGCAGACTAAAGTTCGGTATGCCGTCAAACATCCTAACAAATATTTACAGGTGCACCACTGAAAGCATCCTCACTGGCTGCATCATTGCCTGGTATTGTAAATGCCCGACAGCGTGATGTACTCCAGAGGGTGGTGAAACTGGCTCAAAACACTACCAGCTTTGCGCTACCGAACAACCAGGATATCTACTCTGTTAGATGCCTTAAGAAGGCCGGGTCTATCCTGAGGGACCCCAGTCACCCTAACCACAACCTGCTTTCTCTACTACCATCCGGAAAACAATACCGAAGCATACCGACCAAGACCAACAGGTTTCGTAAACAGCTTCTTCCCCTAGGCAGTAAGACTGCTGAACAGCCAACCACAGCAGACGCCTGCAGTGACCTCCTTGAACTGACAGGGTGTGCTGGCGCCCTCCTGCCCCTTGCACTCTCAGGACACGTACTGTACGAAGAGCACTAAATACCTCCTTTCCTTGTGTTACTTTCGCGCAAGCTGTAAATTGTAATTGTGTAATTTATTGTATCCTTATGTTAATCTAATCCCTCTAAATTCCTGTCCTTCTGCTTTTCTATCCCTCTTAACGAGCTCGCAGACAAAGCATTTCATTGCCGACAACACCCCTGTGCGCTGTACTGTTCGTGCCCCGATGAATAAACCCTTGATTGATGGACTGAATAGGAATTGTAGCACAGTGGTTAGCATTGCTGACTCGCAGTGCTTTGGTCCCCGAGTTCAATTTCTTGGGTGCTCTGTGGGGAGTTTGCATGTTCTCCTCTAGCTCCCACGTTTCCTCCAAGTGCTCTGGTCTCCTCCCACACTCCAAAAACATGCTGGTGGGTTGATCGGATTCTGGGAAAACTTGCCCAGGTGTGAGGGTGTGTGTTTGTGTCTGTCTGTGCCCTAAGAAGTAGCAACGTCCCATCCAGGGTGTACCCTGCCTTGCACCCATTGCTTGCTGGGATAGACACTGGGCCCCCTGCGACACTGTATTAGGTAAAGCAGTTAGGAAATGGATGGATGGAGGCGTCAGGTGAACAAAGGGGGCCTGTTTTCTTCCCCTGTTCAAGTGACTGACATTTCAACAAGAGAGCAGTTCACACATTCTTTGGTTTCATAAAGCCACTGCGATTCCAAATCAAACCAGATCACCCAGCGACATATAATTAATTAAGCTATTAATGACAGAAAGAAAGAAATGAACACACCAATTGTGTTTTGTCATTTACAGTATGGCAATATTGTTACAGAAGTTAGACAGTAAATAGAAATTGGAGTATGACTAGAGATTAAAAAGTTAAAAGTTTTCATTAAAGTTCTAAACTCTTTCAATGAGTTTTTGCCATTTCATGTTTTCCCTTTTAGAGACCTGTCCTTATTTGTTCTACTTTTTCCAGTTTCTCCAATCGTCAACACCACACACAATGACATGCTTAAAAGGAGAGGGAAATACCGAAGTACTCTGGTGCCAGACGTCATGGCTGTCCAAAGTCAATATTGAACAGGGAAAGATCTGAAGCATCAGGGTTCTGATGTAATGTGGCCTGTTTTTCCAAAGAACTGACCAAAGATTCCAACAGTAGAAACAGTCAAGTAAAATCACAATTACTGAAGAAATCTAGCATTTCCCTCATCATTATTAGGTATCCATCCATTTTTAACCACTTCTTGTTCCTGAGGGTGTCACAGGGGAGCCAGAGCCTATCCCAGCAAGCAATGGTGGCAAGGCAGGATACACCCTGGATGGGACACCAGTCACACATGGAGAATATAAACTCCACACAAATAGCACCCTAGAATTTGAACTCCAGGGCTCCAGTGCTTTGAGGCAGCAACGCTAACCACTGACCAGCCCTATTCGGTCATATTCAGATTCTAGTTTAAACCAGTATAAGCCTAATCAGAATGAAAGCAATACATTTGAGTATTTCCCAAATACAGCCAACATAAGAAATATTACAGCATCAGATCATGGTACAACACACACTCACTAAATCAATGTTAGCCATCATTCAAGGCCTTCCTATTAAGAAGCATGTACTGTAGAGAACAAAGCAGAAGAGAATTAAACTAGAGCTTGTGACATTAATGAATATATTTGAATATCCACATCCCCAGTTTAAATAAACCTGCACAAATGTAGATTTCCCAGGCAGTACCTTGTTATTAAAAAAAACGACCATTACTTAGTATGTGCCTGTCAAAGTAGAAAGCTCAGCATGACTCTTTTGTGCTAATAACATGCAACTTGCTGAAACCTAACGAGAAGAAAAAACAACAAAATCCTTCAGGCCCCGTCAATCCGTAAGAAAACATACAGCCGTTTCAAAAACGTACGTATTTTTGACAACACAATAGTCAAGACACCGCTCCATTTTCTAAAGTTATTTGTGTATACTGACACAAACCTGGCCCACTTCCCTAGTCCTGGCAAAAGAACAACTTTACAGGAAAAATAGGAGTTTTGTGTCACCATAAAAAAAAACAGCTCCTAAAAATACCCACCTATCCATTTTCTAACCACTTCTTCCAATCCAGGGTCACAGGGGAGCCAGAATCTATCCCAACAAGCAACAGGCCTCAGTCAGGTACACCCTGGACACCAGTCTCCATAACAGGGCAGTCAGACACACGCACCAGGACACCCTAAAGGAACATGCAGACTCAACACAGACAGCACCCCAGAAATTGAACCCAGGGCCCCAGCACTGTGAGCCACCATTCTGCGCTAGATCCTCATAATAGTATTTTATATAAATATACACTGTAGTATATAAAAAGTACCACAGTTAATGCTGTATATGAAATGTAGTCTAAGTCATTGTATGACAATTTTCTTGCTAGATTCATTGTACTAAACAAGTTAGGTCCAGAACTGTTAAGGGATCGATTATCTAATGAAGTGATCTCATGGAACAAAACCCAGCAGCTCTGGGGGACCCCAGTGCCAGAATTATGAACCCCTGATTTAAACTGTATATATTATCTCTGAGAGAGAAATTGTGTTTTTGCGTCATGCAAAATAACATGCTTAAGAGTAATGTCAAGGTAATGTTACTGCAGATTACTTTTCTGATCCTCTCTTCAAAAAAAAATAGGGAAAAAGACAAGTTGACAAGTCAAACAGAACTGTACAGAACTAGCCATTCTATCTCAGATCAAGTAGAGAACATTGTGTGCGATACAGAGACGCAAGTCATCATGGGAGCTGCAGTTGTGGTTTAATTTTCTGCTGCGAAAGTGTCAGACCATCACATCCAGTCTTGTAAAAACAGGGAGGAAAATGGTTCCAGTAACCCTCCAATGCTGACCCCTGACCTCTGACCCCACATAGTATTTTATCAGTTCTGTGTATCACTAAGGTGTTCTTTTCAGCGTATGTACAGTATAAGTTCAAGAACACAAAAGAAGGAGACCATAAATTGAAATTGCATGCAGTTCAAACCCATCTTTGATGTTTTCACATTTTTGTCAATTTCAACTAATAAACAAAATACCTACTGTAGATACAAATGCTCAAACATTCTCTTGTCACCATCCCTGTTCTATCTTTGGACTCTTTGCAACCCAAACACTGGAAAATATTGGAAATTGTGCCTCTTTAAGGAAAAGAGTCCAACCAAGTGTGTGCCTCAGGATTGAATTACTTTAAAAAGAGAAGGGGTGGGTGTGTCCTGTGATCTGTATTTCCAACTTTAAGAGGTCTTGCTTTCTGTTGAAAAGCTCGAAGCATTAGGATTTAACCTCTAGATCTCACTTTGGAACTTCAAAGTACCCA